TTTATCTTGTTTTATTTAATAAAACAAAAACAACAAGAAAAATATAATGATGTACTAAATTATTATGATTATTATTATCAATCTATATGATATATGTGTTGTGGACTATCCAATATATTATAACGAGTACACAGTATCAGATTTTTTTCTACTTAATTTCTTTCTGAGAAGACTTTACTTCGAATATAAGAGTAAAAAAAAATCGCAAAAATTTGCAGAAAACTGTGTGATATGACACACAAAAAAAGGAAAACAGACATTGTTATTGTATATCTGTTGAACTCTGAAGCTGACGAATAAGAAAATAATATCGTCTCATAGCGATAATTGTTGACAGAAAGAACAATAATGCTTTGTACTATTGTTTACGAAGATGTATAATAAGAATGATGCATAACATAAAAATCGCTTGATATTAAAACAAAATATGATGACAAAATTCGAGGATCTGTCCGTCGAGTTGTTCTACGAAATATTTATTTATTTCCAGTTTCATGAAATACTCAATATTTTTTCTAATGTTAATTCTCGATTTACTAATATCGTTAGAAATATACCATTTATTCGCGTTTATTTGGGTCTGAATGGGATGAGTATAGCAGTAACTGAATTCTATAAAATACATTTATTACAACAAAATATATATAGCCGTCTTAAATCATTATGTGTCTCACATACATTAACTATTGATGATGGCTTATGGTTAGCATTAGATTTATCTGCATTTATCAATCTTCGTCATTTATCTCTAATCGATATTAAACGTTCTTGTTTTGAATTGATGCTCAATACGTCTTCACCCAACACATCTCTTGTCATGTTTAGTATACGTTATTCAGAATTCTATCAAGCTGCATATACATATAAAGGTGTACCTGAAGGTGCATATTATGATCGAATCTTTTGTTTATTTCCTTTATTACGTGTATGTCACCTTCGTTTTTGGCGGTATGTATACGACTCTCAAGTTAGTCAAATAGTTCTACCACTTAATAAAACTTTTATACCGATTGAAACAAATCTTTTGAATTTACAATCACTTGTACTTCGAGAATGTTCGCCAGCCTTTCTGTTACATTTACTTGGACATCATCCACAATTGCAAGAGCTCAGCTTTGATTTGTGTACTCCTTGGCTACCTGATAAACATCCACTCATCAATGATTATAACAAGTAAGTTTCTCTTGTTGAAGTCAAAATAAACATTATGATATATATAAATTTATTCAATAATATTAACATAACAGATTATAATTGACAATGAATTGTTTTGTGAATTACTGACACCATTTTTACAATAATATGTTTTTCAATCAACTATACAGTGTTTAATTATAAGATGATAATTTGAAAAAGTTCTATGTTGTTTCAAAGACTCATGAAGGAACTCAATGAATATGAGAGATGAATGTAATGAGAATTAAGCAACAGGTTTAAATTTTTGATAACATCAAAATATAAATTATGATATTTTTTTATTAGGAAAGGATAATCAACTGATATCCAATCATAGTAAAAGCAGAGCTGAGTTTTTCTCTTTTATATTCGATTTTATGATCGTCATACTTTTCAATCTTCTCGATATGTATTTAAAAGAAAAACTCTTCTCATTTGTTTGTTATTCAAATCACATCGATTGACCATTGTTTTCTAATCTGAGATATGACTAGAACATATAAGAGTTGAATATAAAACTTCAAGATTAGAAGGAAATAAAAATTCATGAGGGCTTGCAGGAATATTATAATATATTTTAAAATAAAGTTGCAATATCGGAGCATTCTCTTTTGAAAAAGTCACTAACTCTTTACCCTCGAAAGCTAATCATACAAAATGAGCTTAAAAAAATCATATACCTTTACAAAGTCTTGATGAAAGAAAATTGTTTTTAAAACAATAATCATTGAGCTTTAATACCAGCTTACGAGAGAGAGAAAAAACTTGTTTTTTTTTGATACAAAACCATTATCATACAGTAAGTCAATGATGTTCATCTTTGTGAATATTTGATAGTAAATGATTAAATGAATTTCGATTGTCTATGAAAATTTTCTCGTAGTAGTCGCTAATTATTTGTTATAGTTTTATTGATGAATTTGTTTTGGATTTTGTTCATAACTTTTTCTGAAAAAAAAATATTTAGTTAAACATTAGTCAAAGAAAAGAACACCTGTCATATAAGTGTGAAATAGATGTAATTAGACGATGAAAATGGATGTGTTTAATAATAAGTTCATTATTATCATTATCATAATGATACAATACATGATGATAAGATAGAAATTTGTTGTTGTATACAAAATTTTCATCGTTTCTGCGTTATGAAAAGAAAAGTATTTTCAGTATAAAAATATACAAACTACTGTGCATAAATAATTAAAACACTAGTACTGTATGATATGGTGTCAATGAACAATGGAAAAGAGTATTTTTTAGTAAAAAACTGAAATACTATATCATCTATTTATGATTATTTTTTTTGTTAATCTATTTTAGTCGAGTTTCTCGTATTGATAAACGTCTAGTTCCCAATCTACGTCGTCTTAAGATAACATTAAACTATAATAGTTATGCTACGGAACTACTTGACCAATTATTTTATCATGATGTTTTATATTCACTAACGAACTTCACATTAGTTGGTATGGTGAATGGACCCTATATTGTTTGCAAGTTACTATCAATGCTTTGTCACCAATGTTCATATAGGTTGGCTGTTAGATGGATTGTGAAAACTACAATATCATTTTCGAACACAAGTATTATCTTGTTAAATACGTTACAACAACTGAAAGGACGAATACCAATAGAATTAGAATTATGTTTATATGAAAACAGTTATTCTATTAGTGCTTTCACATTACCACGAATTGACAAATCTTTGGATGCTTATAGTTATTTTGACAAAAGTACTATTTGCGTGTATGTATCATTTTGAATTTCTTTTATAAAAAATGATGTTTTTTCAATTATTTAGACAAAGTCGTTGGTCATATACTGTGCCGACTTTGAACAATCGTTTGACATATGTCAATAATATTACATTGGATGGTAGACGCTCTCAAATTGACAACGAATTTCTCTGTTGCTTACCAACTATTATTTCTTGGCATCAAATCATTTCGCTGACAATCAATGATTCATTTGACCTATGTCAACTAAGTTTGATCTTATCAAAAATGATTCATTTACGTAGTTTAGAACTTCATTATCACTTCAATTATAATGTTGATGATGATTGGAACAATCAAAATTTAATGAAACTTTTCAATGATACTTCTTTGTGCAATATACTCACGTCAAATGGATTACAAAAACTACATCTTTATACGAATTGGGAATATCCAGATACTATAATCATTGCTTCTTTAATTGTGAAACGATTACCACATCTGGAAATCATCGAGTTAAATTGTCATAATAGTAGTCAAGTTCCTGAAACATTACATATATTAATGAACGGTCTTCCGAAATTGAATTTTATCATTTTTCATGCTTTTTTGACTGGTGAAAAGCAACAGGAGTTAAAAATGCAAGATCTTCAGAAGCATTGTACGCGTACTTATAGAATTGAAGATCTTGAACCACTTGCCGATATGACAATAATTCATATATGGCTTTAATAACTCTAAACTATTAAATTTCTGTATTTATTGATAGTTATTTTTTCGTTCTAAAACTATAATATAGTGGTTGACTATGATTTATGAAAGAGATAGGAAGGACAGAAACATTGAAACTTGTTCAATATTAATACAAATCTCAAAAGATGTTTTTGTTATTATTGTATTTGATAAAAGAAGCAATCAAAATTTTGTATTGTCATCATTAGATTTATTAATAATTGAAGACTTAATAAAAAAAAACAAACTTCGGGAAAATGAATATTCTTTTTATAGAGAAATTTTCAGTTCATTTTTTGAAATATTATTATCATCTTTCTTTAGTTTTTTTTTTATATAAAAGATATGATCATATTCGGCATTGTGAACAATGAAGAACAGTGTAATAATAAATTAATGCTTAAAATAACAAAAATTAGTAGTACTCGAAAAAAGAAATTACTCAGATTGATTTCTGCTTTTCATTCAGTCTCATTGACATGTGAATAACTTCATAAATCTAAACTTAAACAGATGTTGTCTACACACTATAAATACTCTTAAAAGTTTTTGTTTAGAACCTAAATAAAGATTATCATAATCACTTTGAACTTCAGACAATATCATGAGATTAGTCAAAAGTCAATGTTAACTTGAATCATCGATAAATAATTGTAAAATATTAATATTGATTTTATATTTTTCTTGTTAATATTTGAAACTTGATGTAAACAAACGTGAACAAAAATTACTTTGAAGAACTTGGGTGTGGGTGTAGATGTTGTTTACTTACTTTGTGCCCACACCCACACCCACCCCACCACCCACACCCTAAATGACTCTTTTTCATGAACTCGAATCAACTTCTTTTTTTCGGGTGGTGCTATGAGAATGTAATCGCTTGACATAGTAATCGAAATGATAGTTGAAAGAATATCATCATTCATATCATTTTCATTAGCATAGAGATTAAGAAAATAAATCACGGGTAATTTAAAGTAACGAAAAAAGAGTAGATTTTCGTTTGATATTATTGCCAGACGATGTAGCGTTTCATTGTTGATGTTTTCCAATGCGGAAGAAGCAATTTTCAACTTCCATATTATTGATCCGTGTGCTGCCGATTGACGATTTAAGTTAGCGAAAGAGTCATAATTATCTAAAAGTGTTTGAAAGTTTTCTCGAGTAGTAATTGGTTCTTGTACTTCTTTCAAAAACGTTAAGAATTCAATTTCATCACTGATTTTGTATAAAGTAAATAGATCGGATGGAAGTTTGAAACGTTTAAGACTGATTGTATTAGGTCCTGTTTCGATAAGATCATGTAATCCTTCAAAATCATTCGAAATATGATCATAGTTTTCTTTAAGAACTTTAATATTCTCTTCTGACCATAAATCAACTAAAAAAATAACGCCGTTTAGATGGATCTTCTATGAAAAGGTCTTCTTTCCACGCATCTATCCAACATTGATGACCTGTGAGACCAGCAAATGATTCGAATATGTATGTGTTGGCAATATCATTAGGTAGACGATCTTTATTTGATATCCATGTCAGTACGGACTTGTTCACCCTCTGATCAATCTCGTTCTGATCCTCGGCAGAAAATGAACATGTTCCATTCGGAAACCAATGAGCAATACGAGAACAATGTCGAAGACCAACTAAATCTCGTGGTTCCCTATCAATAGTTGACCAAAATTGCTCAATACATGAAGGGGATCGTTTTAACTCGAAGAATAAACGAAATGTATGTTGGATACGATGATTATATTTTTCATATGTTATAAATTGAACAACTTCTTTCTTTTGATCATTTGAATCGAATGATTCTAACATTCTGACCATATAACGAGCAGAAAGATATTCTTGAAAGGTGCGATGAATGAAATAATAGATATTTTCGACGATTAAAGGCGAAGGGTTTCGTGTTTGAGGTATAAGTAAAACAATTTGTAGTACGGAGAGACGTAGTGGACCTACAACGTTGGTTATTTCTTTTCCAGTAATCGTGAATCGATGTTCTTTTGTTGCATCAAATGCCAAACATTCCAAACAGGCAAAAGCTATAGCATTGGGTTCTTGATAAATATTTTTTTGAACTAAAGCGGCGTTACACAGACAATGAAACTTTAGCAAATATTGTTGCAAGAGATGGTCACACATTTTCTGATAGAGTTCTCCAATAGTCATTTGAACATCTAATTTTACTTTTCCTGTCTCCCATAAACTACAAATGATTTCGAGACATGCAGGAACACGTGCTGTTTGTAAGAGGTTTTTAGAATTACTAATAAATGACCAGCATTCCCTGGCAGTAGTTCGAAAGATATACGAAAAATAGTTGTATATATATTTTTCAATATCTTGATCAGTGAAACTTAAAATCTGAAGTTGAATATCGTAATAGAAATCATATGTTGCATACGGGCGAGATGTTAGAATTAGACATGATTTGTCAAATAATTCTTGTTCGATCGGAAGTAAATAAGTTGGAATCGTTCGTTCATAACATCCATCGAGAATCCAAAGAATATCTGATGAATTTTCAAAGAGATTTTTTAATTTTTGTTTGTCTAAATGGGGTGTGGGTGTGAGTGGGTGTGTGTGGGTGTAGGTATTATTCAACACTCACACACCATCCACACCCACTGACACCCTAACCCTTAAGCCACACCCACACCTACACCCACACCCACACCCACACCCTTTCGTGTATATTTGGTGGATTTTTAGAACTAGGATTGTCATTACGAATAATGAAATGTGTTTGACTAATACGTCGAAATGAAACACAAACAGCATGTTCTTTCCAACCAGTTGGAATAGTATATTCATCATTAATTTCAAGCTGTTTTATTTTACTTATGAGGTTTTTTGCGATTTTTCGATAATATTTCATTAATAATGATTGTGACGATTTTATCCGAGAAAAACTTTGATTCATCATTGGTTTAGTAATATTTACTGGAATAAGTAATATTCCAATAATAAAATAATATGTTTCTAAATTATGTAAAAGTTCTTTTTCAATAATTTCGATCATATGATCATCTTTGTTGATCTTCTTATCAATAATTGTTCGGACGAGAGTGTAAATACGCACTTGGAGAAATATTTCTGGTCTAGATCCATCACTTAAACTTCGTCCACGATGAGAGGCATTATCTATATCACGAAGAGCAGGAATAAGATTATCAAAGACTATTTTAGTATGTTCAGTAGTAATACGAGTATAAAGAAGACGACTTACAGTATAATCAAAAAGTATTTCATTTCCTTCTCTATGTAATCGATCATAATGATTGATATAGAATGTCCAACGTTTTTCAAGTTGTAATTTTGTTGGACTATTACGATGTTCATAAAGAAGAAGAAGTTCCTCGTGTCGACCGAGTTTTGCAGCCAATTGAATAGGAGAAATAAATGTGTTAATTAATCGATCAAAATGAGATACATTGCGATGAAAATATGATAAATGCCGATTAAAATCAGACAGATTATTATTAAAACAAGAAAAATTACAATCGACGCATTGTTCCACTAAATTTTTGACCATTTCTGAATTGCAATTATTTTTAAGTGTGTTATATAATTGTGTTTCGAGTGTTTCATTCATATAAGCAAAAAGATGTGTTGTTGTTCTTCAACATAAAACAGATGAAATAACATCAAGAAATGTCTACGTTACAACGTCTTTGCATTTGTGTTTTCTTTCTTTTTCTCTAACTCAACATGCGCTTGCTGACGACATTTTTTTCTTTTATTCATTACTTGTATTTTTCCAGGTTAAGTGATGTGTCAACAGCAAGCAATTTTTTTTTCGATGATAGGCAAATAAAAAAAGAAGTATTGAAGGTATATACGTGCATGGATTAAAGACGTTGTGGGTGTAGATGTGGCTGTCGGTGTAGGTGTGGGTGGGTGTGTGGATGTGGGTGTGTGGCTGTGGATGTCGGTGTGCGTGTGGGTGTGGGTGATTAATTGCTCTATATCCCCACCCACACCCACACCCACCCACCCACACCCACACCCACACCCACACCCACCCACACCCATAGCCACACCTACACCCACACACCCACACCCACACCCACACCCACACCCACCCACACACCCACACCCATACCCCACACCAATAGATGCCACAAAAGTATAGGACTTGAGGACCTATGGTTGCCATCATAATAGAGGATTTCCAGGCCTATAGATGCCCTCATAGCATAGAACTTGAGCAGCTATGGGTACCCTTATAATAGTGGACTTCAGAATCTATAGTTGCCCTTACAATATAGCAACTGAGGACCTATGGCTGCCCTCAGAGTATAGGACTTGAGAACCTATGGTTACTCTCATAATAGAGGACTTGCGGACCTATACATGCTCTCATAATATATAACTTGAGCACCTATGGGTACCCTCATAATACAGGACTTCAAGACCTATGGGTACCCTCATAAGAGCGGACTTGAGGAGCTATGGTTCCCTCCTAATATAGGACTTGAGGACCTGCTGGTAGCCCGAGAGTATAGTATTTGAGGACCCGAGGATACCACCAGAGTATTGGAGATGAGGACCTATGGGTACTCCGTACTATTGGACTATATCAATCCCAGTGAATTCTTGGTCAGTTCCAGCCAAATCCAATTCCAATTCTGGATATGGATTTGACTGGAATTGGATTTAGTGCATATCTAGTCCCATGCGATGCCCCCCCCCCCCCGGCATCCGCGCCGATGCCTCTAGCATCCCAGGAAATGCTAATGGCTTTCTAGGCGATGGCTCTAGCATCCCACGCAATGCTTGTAGCATCCCAGGTAATGGTTTCAGCATGCCAAGTGATGACTCTAGCAATCCTAGCAATGCTAGTAGCATCTCAGGTGATGCCTCTAGCAACTCAGGTAATGCCTCTAGCAGCCCAGGCGATGCTATTAACATCATAGGAAATGCGATTAGCATCCCAGAAAATGCTACTAGCATTCTAGGTGGTGCTATGAATCATCGCAGAGGGACTGAGAAGAAAAGTGAGCTCCAAATTTGGAGTTTGCGCAATTTGGAGCTCACTTTTCTTGACCTCTTGAAAATGGTACCATTGGATTCAGCATGAAATTCTGTACCTAACTCAACCCGATTTAGACTCAACTCAAATAGTATAGCGAATCACGTCAAAAGAAACCGAATATGGTGCTAACTTTATCGACGTATAGATTGTTCACAATTTTCCATCGCTCTGTTGAAAATTTATCAATAGTTAATTGATTAATGTATCAGTTATTAGTTGTTCAGAGGGTGGAACATTTAAAGAACGCATTATATTTGTATTACGCAAAAATTAATTAGATATTTTTAAATATTCGTCGAATCTCATTGGGTCGCATTTGAAACATTCAATTTGTGTTCAGATTTAGATGTTTTTTGCATTTTTCTCCAAAAAATACTTACCGCTGCCGCGATAGTTATTTCAAAGATTTACCGCGGTCGCGCCGCCATCGACATCTCTGGGTGAGAGTGGTGGATGTATCGTCACTCTCACTATCCGCGAAAATTTGTTGTTTACTCTTCATCTTTGTGAATGACGGCTCGCATATAATATTGTTTTTTCCTTTTTCTTACGGCATGTTTCAATTAGTCGAAATTCTGTTTTTCGCTCTCTGTCAGCAACTTGTGTGCACATTCTGTTTTTTTTTTCTTTCCTTATATAGTTTTTTACACTACTGTAGCTGTTCGTGTCTATCTTTGCTAATCGACCAGATCATTACTTTAAATGCCAGCCAAAATTTCTTCCAATTGACAATTGATGACATTTGATTCCATCTCAGTTAGAACAAGAGATTGTCCATCATAAAATTGCGACTTTAAGAGTTTGAATAATTTCAGTTATTTCAACAGTTACTAATTATTGAAATTTGTTGACGTCTCATCATAAAGCTCGGCGTAATAATTATTGAGTCTTGTTGGTCACATAATCAATACTTGACTACGAGATGTTATCGTCTGAATCGAAAGGAATTTCTGATGAGAAGCAGATCTTATGTTTCGAACAAGAAATTTGCGTTTCAATCTGGCTTGATCAAAACGATCTTGCAAGAATCGACGATATCGAGAAGGCGAAAACAGAACTTGAGCGGATGGTGAATATTGTTGAAATATTCGGTAATGTGGACCAATGCGTCGATTTTATTACGGATAGTCAAGACTGTCAAATTTTGCTGATAGTTAGTGAATCTGCTGCTGAAAAAATTCTGTCAATACTTCATGAGGACAACCAACTCAAAGCGATTTTTATATTTTCTTCGAATCGATTAGCGAATGTGTCTTGGATGGAGAAATACGACAAAGTTATGGGTATTATTAGTAGTGTCACATCAATATATCGGTTGCTGGAGGCGTACAAGCACAATGATAGTGTTGAATTCAATTTTATGAGCAATGTTCCTACTTCATTGACAGATGTCAATCCAGAAAACCAGCAGGACGTCATGTTTATGTATGGCCAACTGCTCAAATACGTTTTAATAGAGATGACTTATTCAGAAAGTGATCGGAATCAAATGTTCGACTTTCTTCGTAGTAAATATCAGAATCCGAAGGATATTGATAAAATTCATGAATTTCAATGCCGCTATGATCAAGTGGATCCTATTCATTGGTACACGAAAGATTGGTTTCTTTACAATGACTTGAATAAAGCATTACGTGAATATGATGTTACCTATTTGTATGAAATACGTGTCTTCATCAAAGATCTTCATCAGCAAATTGTTCGTTCCCATATGAAATCGAAAGAATCGACGATTTTGAAACTTTATCGCGGTATGAACATAGACACAGCTATTTTTGATGAAATGAAGATAAAATCGGGGAGACTATTATCTTTCAATTGTTTTCTATCTACCACAGCTAATAATGAGGTTGCCATGATGTACAGTGGAGCTCTAGGTAGCTTTCCTCATATGACTTCAGTGATCTTCGAAATCGATGTAGATCACTCAATATTTACTCCTGCCTATTATGTCGAGATAAAGGATAAGAGTCAATTCAAAGACGAAGAGGAGTTTCTTTTTACAATGGGCAGTGTATTTCGTATCCAATCGATTGAACCTCTCAATGACGGTAATATTTCGCGCATCAAATTACTATTAACCGACGATAACGATGTGGAACTAACACGACTCACTAGTTTCATGCGATCAGAGATAGAGACTCCGAATGAATTGTCTTTTATTCTACTTATGGCTACGTGGGGTAAATACGAAGAGACCATGAAGATCGGTCAGTTAATGATTCCAACGGTTTCTCAAGAGTTGAAACCAATCTTATCCGTCACATTGGCAGGCATCGCTTTGGAACAAGGAAAGAGAGAAGACGCCATGGTTCAATTACAATCATTATTCGATTTTTTAGATGAGCGATCTCTTATTTCAAGAAATAAAACAATAGCTAGTTTGGGAGAAACTATGCTCTGTTGCATGCAGGGTAAATGGGATCTTGCTGCAGAAAATATCGAGGAAGTGTATGGTATCAAAACATCTCAAGCTTCAGAATATGAACCAATATCGTTAGGAAAAGGTTACTTAACAATAGCCACTATCCGTTTTAATCAAGGACGTTTATCCGATGCTGTCTCCTCTGCGACCAAAGCATATGAACTTCTCAAAAGTAGTGTGCCAAGCACACACCCATACCTTGCTTCGTGTCTCCAAATAATTGCTGCGATAAAGTTTATTACAGGTCATTTGGATCAAACATCTGCCATATTAGAAGAGATTGTCAAAATTCGACAGCGTTCGCTACCACCAGAACACCCGCACAGAAGAACGATTGAACTGGCAACTGAATACTGCAACTTTTCACACGGTGATAACTTTCATTCGGAATCACAAAAAGAATTTTTGCAGACGATTTCCACACAGCTACGATCCAGCATCGTAAGCAATCAGCATTCATTATTGCTACAAGGTTTTGCATATTTTGGGGAAAATAAGTTTGACGATGCCTTATCTATAATTAATGAGTATGTCGAAACAATACAAGGAAAAACTTTCCTGCTGAACCAAATTCAATGGTCTTATGTGCATTTCATAAAAGCGGAATGTAATCGTAAAAGACAAGAACTAGAAAAAGCCCTGGAATCTTACAACAAAGCCTATGAAGCCTTAAGGGAAAATATTGACGAGTCATATCCATATGTGGCGAAGGTGTTACAACAAATCGCCAGCATCTATGCAGGACAGAACATGTTTGATGAGGCATTTGCTGTATGGGAAAGACGCATAGATAGGCCAACAGGCATTTCAAGAGAGGATGTCAACACTTTCAACAATACTCGCTTGCAGAGCATCGCCAACACATATACAAAGCAAGGTTTCTATTACGAAGACTGCGAACAGTATGAAAATGCCTTAGTCAGTTTTGAAAAGTGCCTCGAAATTCAAAAATCTTCTCTGTCCATAAACTATATTGGCATTCAACGCACTCATTGGTTTATCGGACATAATTACTTAACACAGAAAAAGTACGACAATGCCTTGGCTAGTTTTCAAGAGTCGCTAAATATTA